ATGCATGCTTTATATGATAATTTTAAAATAATAAAAAAATAAATTGTTAGTCATTCTAGGATCCCCCATTCATGTAGAGTTAAGACACTGGGAATAAGAGAAGTTTTGTTGTTTTAGGCATAGAGTAATTCAGAGTTTGAGGTGACAGATGAGGCAGCACAGTGCAGTGGTAGACTAAACACAGGTGTTGGGTTCAGATTCTCAGAACCTTGGTTTCCATGTTTGTAAACTGGAGATGCTACAGCCACAAAAAATCTTTAAAAAAATGAAAAGAGTATAACTAATAAACGGCACACAAGACATCTTTGTCCTTGGAAAAGCAACGCACCACAGAGGTTCAAAGGCTGCTCAGGTGTATCCTGGAGTAAGTTTCTCAATCTGAGTCTCTGTTCCCCATCTGTAAAATCTGGCTAATCTCACCAAGTGATAATACTATGAGGATTAAGTGAAATAATAATTAATAAGTTATTTAGCAAGTGAATAATATTTGGAAGTTCTCGATACTTGTTAGATTTCATTTCATTTCATTTCTCTTTCTTTCTAAGCACATTATTTCATTTTTTGTTTAATGAAAACAATTTTAATTGCCCTTAATACACCAGAAAATTTTATTAAAAGATATTCTAACTATAACTGCCAAAAAAGAGCCTGAAAGTACCGATGTGTTACAAAAACAAGAATTCTTATAATATATTTACCTAATCATTCACCCATTCATTTGACAGATATTTACCCAGCACCAGTTTTGTGCTAGGTATTGAGTTACACAATGTGTGAATAGGAAGATGAATTAGATACATTCCCTCCCTACCATGTAATACATAGTCTGTTAGAGGAGAGAAGATTTGGGCTTGAATATCTAAGCATATGAGGTGGTACTATGTGTAATTAATGCCACAAGGCTGGTTTTTTAAAAAGGCTATTCAAACATGAGAAAGGGAGCCAAAATTTCTGGATTGAGTAATCGGAGAGGAAAGAATTTTTGAGAGCATCAATAGCTTTCTGGTCTTTGAAAGATGCATAGAACTTTGTTAGGGAGAGATAGCCACCAAGTCATCCCAAAAGGAAAGAAGTATTCAGAAGGAAAAACAAATAAAGGACAATGCATACACATACATGCATATTTGTAGACTGGTGATTATTCTGGCTTGGCAAGAGTCTAAGGGACACACACACACACACACACACATAAAATATACAAAGCAACATAGCAATAGGAAACTAGAAATGTAGGCTCAAATCTGGTATTCTGAGGGGCTTGTGGTTGTTTTTTTCTTGGAAGACAGGAAAGGAGGAGCCCCCGGGAAAACTTATAACGTGGAATGCCATGTTTCAGTTGTTTCAGGAAGAAATCTAGCAAGCAGTATACAAAGAAGTCTGGAAGACATTAGAAAGAGAAAGACTAATTATAAAGCTGTTTTGACAGTTCAGGTGTGAGGCCAATAAAGGGGAGAATAAAAATATCACCCTCGGGAATGGGAAGGTAGCCACGGATTCAAAAGATATTGCAGAAGAAAAACATCAATAGAATATGGGAACTTATTAGATAAAATTATATATGGGATAGAAAGGCCCACAAAGATTCTGAAACACAATGATTTTTAAGAAGAAAGTTACAGAAGATTGGCACAGATCGAACTTAGTTACAAGAGGAAAGTGGCTGGAAGGAAAGAACAGAGGCAGCTCAGTGTACAATGTCTCTCTATGTAGTGAAAGGAATGAAAGAAACAGGGCACTGGTTTGACAGAGTACTGCAGCTGGGAGCATAATGATTAAGAGAACCCTGAAGATGCAGAACTCTGAAGCTGCTCCTTCTGAGTCCAAATTCTGCCTGCCACTTACTTGCCGTGTGACTGCAAGCCTGGTACTTAGACTCTTCAAGTCTCAGTTCTCCCATCAGTAAAACAGGCATAGGAACAGTATCTGCCCCATGACAGCTGGCATTTATTATAAATCCCACGTTAGGTGTTTACACTTACTGTAGTACAGTTGAGAGAGACACTGAAACATACAGGAAACTCGACATAGAGTAGGCAGAAAGAAACAATCATTTGCTCATTCATTTGGCTACACTGTATAGACTGAGTGCCTTCCATGCATCAGGCTCTGTTCTGGGAACTGAGGATATGAAGTGAACAAAGCAGGCAAAATCTCTGCCCTCAGAGAGCTGACATTCAAATACGGGAAACAAATGATCAACAAGCAAACACCCAAATGCAAGGAGGGTGGTCATACATATTAATAAAGAAAAATTAAGCAGAATAAAGAGGGTAGAGAGCGACCATTGATGCTGCAATGGGTCAGGGAAGACCTGTTTGTTCATGGTGGTGGCAGCTCAACACAGATGTGAATGAAATGAGGGAAATGCCATGCAAACCTCTATGAAAAGAGATTCTGGGTAAAGAGAACTGCAAGTGCAAAGACGCTGAGTTGGAATGTGTAGTATTATCCAAGGAACAGAGAGGAGGGCTATGTGGCTGAAACAAATTACACAGAGGCGTAGCAGGGGACCATGTGAGGGACATGCCACAGGCTGGATCACACGGTGCCTCAGAGGGCATGGTAAAAAATCAGTGGATTCTGTGCTACATGTGATGGGAAGTTAGGAGGAATAACATGACCTAGCTCTCATGTACTGAAGCACTGCCGTGTAGACAACTCACTGTGGGGTCAAGAGCTAAAGAGGTCAATGGTTTTAAGCTCATAGCTTTAGTCTATAATCTATAAGAGATGGTAGTGGCTTGGACAAGGGCAGAACAGTGGAGATGGGAAGGAGTGGTCAGACCTGGGACAGGTTTTGAAAGAAAAATGATAGGATTTGGTAAAAGACTGAATTTGGAGTATGAGGAAATCAGAATAAAAAAGCATGAAACTAGAACTCTTTAACAAGACTATGGATGAACAGTACTACCATGTAGTGAATGGGATAAGTAACTGGATCAAGTCTGGAGCTGGGGAGAGCGGATTACAGAAGAGGAAGCTATCCATTCTGAGCACAGCTGGCTTATCTATCAGACAGCCACTTGGAGGAGATGAGTCAGTATTTGACATGGAAATTGATGTGGATTTCAGAAAGGGATAAAGCTAGGGATAGAATCTGGAATTCATGAGCATTCAAATGGCATCAAAGCCACTGGTACTAGATGACATCACCTAAGATGCTAGTGTAGACAGAGGACAGCAGCTTGAAGACTGAGCCATGGGGTGCTCTCTGACTCTCTGAGACTAGGGACAAAAGGAGGAACGAGTAAAGGACTGAAAAGGAGCAGCCCGTGGGACAGGAAGAAAACCAGGAGCACTAAGTATACTACAGGCTAAGTGACAAGAAGCGATTCAGGAGAAAAACAGACGCTGTGTCCAATTTTGCTGAGCATCAGAGATTTGACCACTTGGTTAGACCAGGGGCAGATTAGTGGTAACCTTGGAAAATCCTGGTTTCAATACAGAGGGACTGTGAAAATGTCATTAAAGCTAATAAGAATGATTAAAAGAGGAAAAGGTATAGACAACTTCCAGAAGAGGCTTTCAGGAAGGGGGAGGAATGGGCTTTAGTTGGAGGGGAACGTGGTTCTGGTGAGGATGCTTTAAAAGAGGAGTTACGAGGTAATGTTTAAATGCCTATTGGAGTGACCAGTAGGAGGGAAAATTGATGTGGAAAAGGGAAGGGATAATTACAGGAGGGTCCCTAAGTGGTGAGAAAGGGTGTCCTCAAGGGTAAGAGCTGACCTCAGAAAGGAGCACAAACAGATCAAGTAAATTTGATGGATGGGTAAGGATGCCATTTCTGAATGCTTCTCTCTCTTTCTCTCTTCTTTTTTTTTGGTGATATAAGAAGCATGGTTATTATCTGAGAGTAGGGAAGGGAGAGAGGTATTGGGAGTCTGAAAGGTAAGAATAGATATAAGACATTCATCTGATAAAGTGAGACAACGAATGACTAAGAGAAATGAATGGCATTTCTAAACAGATGACAGCTCACCTTGGATTCGTGGTCATAAACACCCAGAAACGGGTTATGTGTTTTTCTCCAAAGTCAGCTGCTCGGGTCCATGGTAAATCTTGGTAGAGGAGCTGATTTAACCAGGATTGAGTTTTGTTTTTTTTTTTTTTTCCAGGTGAGTATGGAAGGGAAGAAGAACCAAGGGAGATGAGGGTGTTTGCAAGGGACTGAAGATGTAACTGATGATAGATTGGAAGCTGAGTTTGGATGGAACTGAAGACATGAGGCAGGTGATGGACACTGGGAAGGTTGTAGAGTTAATGGATTGGAGATCCAAGTGGGATTTAAGAACTGTTGGCAAGGGGGCAATAAAATAAGTGGCAGGAAGGTAATAAGGTGCTAGAAAAAGGAATGATACAAACTGACACTTTGTAGGAGGCGCAATTATTGGTTTAGTGTGTGACATGTAATTGATGAACTGGATGAACTGAGGTGGGAAAGAGCTAATATTGTAGGTAACATGAAGGAACTAACATCGGATTACTTGCGTGGATATTGTAAATACCCAGATTGATCACAGAGGTAATTGGAAAGGAAATGATTCTCAGATAATAATATCTTCCGTGGTTGTGGGAGTATGACAGAAAACTTCAACAGGAAGGGGCAGTGAGTAATTATCTCAATATTTGTTTCAAGGGTGCTACATTATTTAAGTCTGAAAATTAGACCTATTGATAATGTTAATCTATGAAGGTGCTCCTTAGAGTAAGATCAAAGATGACAGAAATTTCAACTCTTTTTACATCAATTCATATTTTTTAAAGTAATTTCTGAAATATGTATCCAACTGATTGCCAACAGACAGATCATATGACTGTGTACAAAAATACAACACTGAAAATTCTGACTTCTAAGTACAAATAATATGATTTTAATTCATTCTTCATCATGTCCATTTACCCAGAATGTTCAGAGAAAACTCTAGTTTTTGATAATTGATATAGAAAAGATACAAACAGAAAGCACTCACTTGTCCATGGCAGTGCCAGTCACTACTCACCAGGATTGTTGGACTGGGCATCCATAGGGATCATGAGCTTTGCCCGAGTGGCTCGGCGTGCAGCCAGTGACCTCTCCAGAGTAGACATGGAGCTTCCTGCTTCCTCTGTGTCTTGACCTAAAAGAAAAATAGTACTCCTGAGAGGCACCTTCTCTAATGGTGTAACACTTCATTTCTAGCCAGGAACTCCACAGCCTTTTTTGTTTTATTGAAGTTTTAAATCATAACATCTACTTTTTCACAGCGCAATCAATATACTCTCATTGGACATTTTTTTTGGTCCTACCAAAATCATCATTTTAATCTTTGATGTCATTTGACAACCATTAATAAAATTTATCATAACCTCATTACCCAGAAAGAACCATTATTTTTAATTTCTGCCTACATATGTATATGTAAAAGGAAGAGAATATATATTAATGTATTTATTTTTCAAAAATGGCATTAGACCGTACATACTATTTTGTAGCCTTCCTTATAAAATAACAAAAATCTTTCTCTGTCAATAAGTCAGTAACATAATTTTTAACAGCTCAGTAATATTCAATTGTATGAACTTACCACAATCTTTGCAACTATTACTTAAGCCCCAAAGATATTACATCTTATCATTAAAAACAGGAAATAAAGCACATTCTTCAAAAGTAAGGTCAGGTATATCTATATAAATATATTGTGATTCCATAAAATGTTATGAGCCATCTCATATGGTATTTTTCTTTCTCTTTCTGGCCTACTTCACTTAGAATGACACAGAATACAAACTTGTGGTTGCCAAGGTGGGGGTGGGAAGGGATAGACTGGGAGTTCAAAATTTGTAGATACTGACAGGCATATGTAGAACAGATAAACAAGATCATACAGTATAGCACAGGGAAATACATACAAGATCTTATGGTAGCTCACAGCAAAAAAAAATCTGACAATAAATATATGTATGTTTATGTATAAGTAAAAAATTGTGCTCTACACTGGAATTTGACACAACATTGTAAAATGACTATAACTCAATAAAAAATGTTTTATAAAAAACAGTGTACAAGGGTTTCCTTTTCTCCATATCCTCTCCAACATTGATTATCTGTAGACTTTTTGATGATAGCCCTTCTGACAGGTGTGAGGTGATATCTCGTTGTGGGTTTGGTTGCATTTCTCTCATAATTACTGATGTTGAGCACCTTCTCACATGCCTGTTGGCCATTGGTTTGGAAAGATGTCTGTTCAGGCCTTCAGCCCACTCTTGACTGGGTAATTCGGTGTTTGGTTTTTGACATTGAATTATATGAGCTGCTTAAGTATGTTGGAGCCTAACTCCTTGTTAGTTACATCATTTGCAAATGTTTTCTCCCATTTATTTTGTAGATGGTTTCCTTTGCCGTGTAAAAAAGCTTTTAAGTTTAATTAGGTCCCATTTGTTTATTTTTGCTTTTATTTCTTTTGCCTTAGGAGATGGATCCCCAAATACATTGCAGCTTGTATCATGGCTGCAGTTTGGTCATCATTCAGTTAGCTTCTTCCACGTGGTGGGGGTTTCAGAACCTACCAAACAGCTCAAAGCACGTGGCTCAGAATATTACCTATAGCCCCGAGGAGGTCCCTAACTTTGTTTAAAGACTAACCCATTATTATCCTGTTTTGCGTGACTACTTCCCTTGTTTTCGTATTTTCTTATTTCTCCGGTTAAGCTTATTCTTTGAATAAAGTTCTTCTACAGACAAGGGGCAGGCAGAGGACATGGGGTCAGGGGGTCTGTCCTGGGGAGGCCCCAGAGGGTCCTGCTCTGTCAAACAACCACTTTCTGGATTTCTCAGTTATTCCTAGGCATGGCTTGCTCTACCCCAAATCATTAAACAGTAGGCTTTTCTCTTCAGATCACTTTGTACACCAGCAGAGACTGCAGACTCTGCTAGACTAGGCCAGTGATCACAGAATGTGACTGTGTGGGGGTGACAGTGGATCTCCCTGGTACTCAAGGCAAAGTAACACGAGAGTTGATACTTTCATACATCAAGTGCCAGTGATGTGATTTTTTTAAAGCAAAGAATTGATAGTGAATTTAAACTCAACTTTCCACAGACACAGGGAACTAAAAAGTAGGTTCAAACGACTTCACATTTTTGCTCAAAATGTAACAAAATGCCCTGGATTCACTGAGTCTTCACACCTCAGTGTTGCCCACCTGCATCACCTCCTACCTCTTAGAACTTTCGAGAAGCATTACAAATTATACAAGGCAGTCAGCATGATGAGAGAACAGAAAGTAAGCCTAGTCAATGTACCAGATTTATATCAGGTTCTTGTAACTACGGTGAATGATGTGCAAACTAAGGGAAGGCTATATCCACCAAAGGGAGTGGAGGGTTCTTTTGTGGGATTCAGAGTGGGCTGTTTCTCCTGATGCCAGAGAGAAACAAGTTACCTGAATGAGAGGTGGTTTTGCTCCCCATTTGGGTTTCCGACTGGCTGTGACTGACTGGTGTGAGGTCTTGGCAGCTCTGGATGGGGGAGTCCCTCCCTGCAGGGTCAGTGCTTGCTGGCTTCTCAATATTCTTCATCTCCATTTCTTCATGGTGTATCCAAAGATCAGGGGGCCGGAGGTCCTTCTGGCTGCCCTTCCTTTTGCCAACACTGTGGGTGGCCCGTTTCCTATGAAACAAAATTAGAAGGCCAATGTGAGTGCCTCTATTCAATGGCCCTTCCTTCCTCCTTTTTTTCTTTTTCTTTCCCCCCTCCTCAGTCAATTCAAGTCAGAAGCAGGGAAGGAGACAAAAGCACTCCCAGGAGGAAACCTGTGAAATGCAGGAACTGGCAGACTGGTCTTGGCCGCCTGTCCTCCTGTTCCCTGGAGCTTCCCCACAGAACAGGAGATGCGGTGCTGCATCCCCAGGGCCCCAGCTGCCTGCCAGAGCGCGCCTGCCTCCAGCTCCCCCTGCTGCAGATTCAAGCACAAGGTGACAGTGGGTGAGAGGCAACCAGATGCTGATCTTTGAAACTGGGCATCAGGTACCCGACTGCAACATCTGTTGAGGCGATAAATGACAGAGTTGCTTTGAAAGGGCAAATAGAAATAAAAAGGCCAGAATGTGTGCCAACAGCCAAGACTGGGGCTTAGAAGAAAGTCTCTCCCTCAGCTGTCCAATTTAATGTGCAACTGGGAAGCTGGCTGTTCCAGGACAAAAGACTGCAGTGCACATTCTTAGGAGAATAAAATACTTTTGTCTTGGAGTCACTAAGTGTCTGGATTCAAATACAAGAAGACCCATCCTCTGAAAAGAGAAGAACCCACTCTGGAAGTGTGTTTCCAATGTCTCTTATTTCCCTCAATAAGAACTCAGCAATCATTAGTTAATTTTTTCAGGGGTAGTCTCCATTTGGGGCTAGTGAGATTCAGATACTCCCTGCACGCTAAGCCAAGAAGCGGGATGCTCAGGACAGCTGTTCTCTGCAGCAGGGGTCAGGAGACCATGGCCTGAAGGCCCAACCCTCCCACTGTCTACTTTTGAAAATAAAGGTTTACTGGAATCCTGCCAAGCTCATTCGTTTTCGCACTGCCATGCTGCAGAGCTGCAACAGAGGCCAGGTTGCCCACCACGCCTAAAATATTTCCCATAGGGCCCTTTGCAGAAACGGTTTTCAACCTCTGCTCTATAGTTTTTATAATTTGTTAAAAAATCTCCACTTGTAGCTTCCACTTCTTTTAAAATAATCACGTCTCGTTGTGAGGCAGAATTCAGTCAGTTAAAATCTAATCTTTGGCAGAAGCCCAGAGAAGTACCATTTTTTCCCTCTCCTCACTTGCAGTGAATGGTTTATGAGGCTAACTGCTTCCATGCTGGCTAAATGGTTCAAACTGCCCTCAGTGGAAACGCTTCGTAACCTGTGCAAGGCTGCTAAGAACGGCTTTGTTTTCCCCACTTGCTGGATAAGACACTCTGTACATATTAGGCAATTAATAAATGTTTAGTGGTCTGATCTGTTGAATTTTCTTCCTTAACATTCCTTTTTTCTTTCTTTCCTCAAGTATGTTGATGAGGATAGAAATGAAGAGCCCCAGACCTCACAGCTACGTGGTGGTTTAGTGGAGAAACACTGCAGTGTTTCCTGCTCTAGTATTTCCCGACAAGCACCTGCAATTTGCTGATTTCCTGGGAGCAGCCTCAACCCGACACCAGACAATGGTCTGCAGTAATGCCTAGATCATCTCGTGTTTAAGATAATAACTCTCTTGTAACCATCCACTCCCTGAATTCATTTCCTTACATTTCACCAGCCCTCGGGAAAGGAGTCTGCAACTCATACATAGCTCTTTACGTAATCCACCTTTGGTCACTTAGAAAAATGTAATGTCGTCTTCAAACCTGGAGATTTCACCCCACTATCTTTCTTTCCAACAAATCAAAATGATAAACAACTTAAACCCTGCTGTCTATATGACTACATACAGAGATGTACCAGTTCCCCAATCCAGGACAAGAGAGTCAGAATTCCCATGATAATCTAGTATTTAAACAGCCTGCGGTAAAGAAGTTTGTCAAACAATTTTTGTAGCGAGAAGTAAATGATGAATTCTGGTTTCCTCTTGCTTATGTGCATGTCTTATGCATTTGTTCATTCATTCATTAGTTCCCATGACCTTGGTGCCAAGCATCCCCAGGCGTATCTTTTTTTTTTTTTAAGTTCCAAACCAGATTGAGGCAGAACCTTTTTGTATGTTATGATTTATAACCTCCGTCTAGAAAGAAATGATAATTCCTGATAAAATGCGTAAGTGTTTTTCTGATGGATTTTAATCAGATCGCGATCTCTTTGGAGAAGCTGCTTTCGCCTGGCTGACTGTAAGAATCTAAAGATCTCTAAACAGACTGTTTACTTTTTGTATATATTCCGTGAAAGACCATCTAACCACTTTTGTTTTCCATAATGTCTCTTTTCAAGAGAGAAATCTTTGGCCTCGGAGTGGCCTCCCTCCCCTGCTGGTAGAAGTCCAGCAGCCCCACGTAGCAGGTTTGTAATACAATTGACGTCAATGTATATATACACACACACACACACACACACACACGAAGAAACCTGACATCTGCTTGTAGCTAAGTGGTGTGAAATTTGTCTTAAAACCTGTAGGAACAGCTGTCACCCCAAACTTCTGTCCATCTGCTGGTTCCTTGACATCATGACTGCCGCCCATTTCACCCCCAGTTCCTCTGTCTCACCACTGGAATCTTCAAAATGTCTATGTAAATGAACCTAGTGCAATGGTTTCTGACGCGTGGTCCCCGGACCAGCAGCATCGCCCTCACCTGGGCACTTGTTAGAAATGCACATTCTCAGGCCCCGCCCCAGCTCTTACCCATCAGAAACTTACGAAGGGGCAGTGGGGCCCCATGGTTTGTGTTTGAACAGCCCTTCAGGGGAATGTGATGCAGCTAAAGCTTGAGAAGCACTGTTTTAATAAATTATTTGGTTTTGTTTCTTGTTACTATAAAGCTATAATTTTTTTCTATTAGATATAGAGTATGTCACGTTTATCCCTCCCCCTCCCTCTACACACTTTTTCTTCCAGGTACCAATAATCCTGTGCCTTCCAAAAATAGCTGCAGGATAGGAGTATCTCTTCCCACCCCACGTATTGTTGAATAAAGGCAAAGCAAGGAGTCTTCCATGGCCCTCAGCTGTCTCTTTCTCTTCCTGTGGCAAAGCCGTCACAGCATAATCAAGGTCTGGTGGGTTTTTGTTTGTTCTATGTATCTATCTACGTATCTGTCTGTCTGTCTGTCTGTCTGTCTATCTAATCTTACTTCTGCCCAGAATGCCTTCACAGTCCTATTTACTTACAAACTCCTTACTCTTTACGATTCCCTTCAACCCTCTCTTCCTCAGGAAACCTCCCTGATCGCTTTCGATCAGTGTCATCTTAGGATGGCTAAATCATTTTCCCCTTCTCTCTCTATACCACTCACCTTGCACTGATCACTGTCTGTCTTACTGAGCTGGTCAGATACTCCCTGTGTGTGAACTGGTTTTCTGCAGTGATACTGGAGCCATCTCTATTTCCTTCTCTTCCCCAACATCATCCATTGTTTTACAATATTTATCCATTTGTCTGTTTAGTGAACATTTATGGAATATTAACTATGTGTCAAGAAGTATGCTACATACTAGAAATGCAAAGATCAGTGGGAGTTTGATACGTAAATGAAAAATGGCATGGCTTTTGCACCACTGGAGCAAGGAGCATGCGCTGGGACATGGAGATAGAGAAGCTGAAACAGTAGAGGGGACCAAATCATAACAAAAACATTTTAAATAATATCAGTAAATCGGGGAAATTGCAGAAAGGTTTGCAACATTAATCAGATTGGTTACATTGTATGATGCAGATCACACACTAAGGGTACTAGTAATTCTTGAACTGAATAATAAAAAATGTGTCATTATTGATGTGGAAGGATGGTTTGCAAAGTTTGTCTCCGATTCTTTTTTGCTATCTGTTCCTTACTTTGCACATATCCTATAACTCTAAGAGGAATTTCTTTCCGTTTCACTTTTAATCGGTATGCGAGGGATGTGAATGGGTAAGAACCGACCTTGGCTGAGCATCCATTTTATTCCAGACTGTGGAGCTCTTTTAAGCTCTAAAACACTATCATCATCTCACAGATTATTTTGTTGCACTGTAATAAATTAGTGAATTCCCACTCTGTGGTTAGCCATCCTCTGCTTAAATTATTCACAGGAGGTAAATATCTCTGTACTAAATTCTTGTGGTCAGACAGACACATGCCCAAGATGTGATGGAAGACTGAGGCAGGAGCACTGCCCCACTGGGGAGATAGAGGAGGCTTCAGGAAGAAGGTCTAAACTGAGTGTTAAGAATGATCACAAGTTAACCAGGAAAAAAATACGTTGGAAAGTACAAATACCTGCCCTGCCTCCTCCATCCAAATCTTTCCCAAAGGTTTCCAGTGTCCTGGTTCTCTGTATTGATTATTTTTATTCCATTAACTGCCATTAAAAACAAAACAAAAATCTTGTATCGGAAAGCCAGGGAAAATATGTTCTAGCTACTCACATAAACCTGCATTTTCTGAGATGAAATTAAGATACACTGAAGTCCTAAGTAGTTGCCAGTTAAAATCCCTGTGTAGTGAATACTAAAAATGATTAAAATGTTAAAATTTTGAAAATCCGTTAAAATGGTCTATAGTGTAAGGTAGATTTCATTTGAGTTTCAGCATTTGATCTTCAGTACTGAAGATAGTTATTTTTGTGAAGATCTGAATGTGGGTTGATATTTAAAACTTGCTGTGTCCACATCAAATCAAATAGGAGGCTTAGTTAATGGGTGGTTTTATCATGTAAACCTTGAATTTTATTTACACATTTAAATTACACAACATTAAATTAAAGTTGTTGATCATCTACCCAGGTAATTGCCTTAGAAATGTAATAACCATGTGTCCAGGACTTCCAGGATATTTTCAATGTCAATTATTCTATCTTTAGTATCTATAGGTAAACTCTAATTTATCATAATCCATGTTCTACATTTTGGCCAGGAAAATACTACTTTATTAAAAAGCACAGAAATCCCACACAAATTCAAGCTTTCCTAAAACACAAATTTTCTGTATTATATTCTGCTACAATCTCATTAACTTCAAAATGTATAATGGCAGTCTCTTCAAAGTAGTAAAATATTTTAAATTAATAACTAAAAAGAAATGTAGTAATTCAAATGTATAAGGAAAGTCTCTTCAAAGCAGTAAAAACTTAAAAATAACTAGCAAAATTATTTTTATTTCATGTGAATTTGAAGCTAAATGCTAAATGTGATTCTATAACTTAGCAGTATTCCATGGGGAATTTCAGTGTTTTAAAGGTGGAGGGGTTGACAGAAATTATTTAGTCCCCTTTCTTATTTGAGGGAACTGACATTCAGAGATTAGGTCTTCTCTTCGGTTTAATTAAATCTCATTCATTTAATTAAAGAAGTGGTAGAATCAGAACTAGAACTTGGGTCCCAATTTCTGTTAGTTATTTTATAACATAAAAAAAAAACTTACCAACTAGAATATGAGTCAATCAGCTAGGCTAGCTCATTACCTCATTATTAAATAAATCATGAATAAAATAATAAACCATTATTAAATAAACCATGACTAAAATGTGCAGACACTAACTTGAATAAAGTATTACTGAGAGTACATAAAAATATGGTTTGAATCCACTGGGATGAAATTCAAGTCCCCTAATAAAACACAAAGACAATTCACATTCTCCAGCACTCCTAGACAAAGAGATATTGAAGAAGCCATGGATGTGTTTCCCACTTCACCCTATTAATTACATTAAACTCCCATTTCTGAGAGCCCTGTAATAGACATTATTTCTGTTTCAAATTAGAATTGATTTTGCTTTCATCTGCATTATTTAATTTGTTCTAAAAAGCTCAATGTTGGTGGTATCGGGGGAGGGGTTCTCAATAAAATCAAGAAATGCTAAATTAAAACTCAGAAACCTCTTAAAGGAGAAATGCTCTTATTTTTCTTTTTCTCTGTTAACACAAAGAGACCAAGATCAACGTCAATGGGCTTGTTACCAAAGAAAACTATATGAAGCTAAATTGTGAAAAAATGCCAAGTAAATATTAAGAAACTTTGGGGGTGAGGTGAGGAAAAACCCCAGGGGCAGTAGTGAGGAGCTAGACATTCACTTTCTTTGGGTTTTCATTCACAGAGTGATTCTTCCCTTCCTCATTCCCTAATTTAATTTTTATTCATTTATTTTTTGAAGGAGGGGAGGTAATTAGGTTTATTTATGTATTTATCTTAGTGGAGGCACTGGGGATGGAACCCAGGACCTCGTGCATGCTGAGCATGCGCTCTACCACTGAGCTACACCCTCCCCCTTCATTCCCTAATTTTATAAACAAGTCGTACCCAGGGATCAGCCTCTACTCTTTCTATGTAAAACCTTCAAGCTCTTTCCAAAGTGCTTAGGGGAGGATTTAGGACAATTTAAGAATTTCTCAAAAGAGCATCAAATTCCACCTTTACACACTGAGGAGACTAGCATTTTCTCTGTGGAGAAACAAAACAGGTCTCGGAACTCAGTTCAAGTCAGCACAGCCCTCATTCTTCTCACGAGGATGAAGACGATAAAAACAAAACCCAGCAAACACCTCACTACAGATGGGCTTGGCGCATTCAATTCGTTTGGTGAAGGCATCCATGTTTTTAAAACTATCCTGAAATAAGGCCAAGTTTGGTTCTGGTGCCCTCCCCACTCACCTTTCTGTGACTCTTTCTCAGACCTGCCTCGTCGACCCACGGCTTTGATTTTCCACCCTCTGTGCTCGCACCACCCCCTTCCGTGGACTGGCTGGACCAAGAGATCGCTCAGTGACTTATTAGCAGTGACTTCCCCGCGGAGCCTTCCTAAGGGCCGCGCACTCTAGAAGCTCTGTGGGTGGTGATGACGTCCTAGATCACTTACACCTGAGACTGACCCGTTAATCACATGCTGCGTGGTTCCTCGTTTGAGAACAATGGACCAGCGCACCAGCCATCCTCAGCTTCAAGATGGTCTAGTCAAATGAACGCAGCTGGATATAAAATTTGCCCTGCCATAGAGAGACCCGAAATGCGAAGACTGTATCTACCCCCCTGTGTCACTCTCCTGGGTATGTGTGGTTTCCTGCGTCCTGTTACTAAACCAGCTCACTTCAAAACGCTGGAAGGTACACTAGAAATCAATACATAGGGTCAGAGGATTTTTTAGCAAGAGAGAAAGGCTGAAGTCTTAGCAAGGGAAGAGGGAAAATTATTTGCTAGAGAATCTCTACCAATGTGTGTGGTATATAGTCATCAAACCTGCCACCTCTGGGCCCAGGCCTCAGGCTGGAGAGCACCAGGCCTCAGGCCAAAAACAAACAAAAATTCAGGGAAGAGCCTGTTACAGCCAATCTAATGAGAATAACACTGCTGAAAAAGACACATCAGGAGGGATCTGAAAAGTGTTAAGAGAGGCAGAGAGGCAGAAAATAACCAGGAGATTATCGCTGATTTCCACAACTGGCTGATGCAAGTTAATATGCTGGTTATGGGGAGTTGCTGGAAGGGGATCAGCTGAATTAAAATCACCTTTCCACTCCAAACTTGGTACTTTGATGGATCTGTCATTCTCTGCGTGTGCTATAACCTAGAGCTACATAGTATGAAAATATTATTAAACCCCTCAAATTTTTTAATTTCTGAAAATCAATCACAGCCAGGAAATCTGAACCATTTTGAATTTCTGGAATCTCTCTACTATCCTAACTACTGCCTCCAAAGTAAACACTCCGTAGCATTGTAACTATGTTGAGTTTGGTATTTTATACTTAGCCATTCATGCAACAAACATTGATTAAATGCCTACAGGCCTCCTTGCCAAAAGGGATAAATAAATACTCTTAGAGGAACACCCATCTCCAACCTTTTTTATACTTCATTGCAGAGAGGGCCATAAGTAGGGACATGGTTAAGTCCATTCTGAGTGTTACTTAAGAAGAGCTGCCTTCACTGAAAGAAAGTACCTAGTTTCGAGAAGTAAAATCAAACAGAAATGCAAAGTGGGTCTCCAAGTGGATCCTATTAAGTCTGCAAGTCTAATCCTCACTCAAGTTACAGGCTTGGAATAGATAAAAGGCAAGATTTTGCCCACATCAGGCGATAAGGAATATGTGATGAATTGTAAAAGAGCACAGGAGGAAAGTTGTCAAAAATCGAACCCAAAAAGCTGGCAGTCAGGTCAAGCAGTGACTGCTCCCCTCTCGGGGGCTAGCTGCTACTTACTTTCTTTGCTGGGCCGAAGAGCGCCGGGTGCAGATCACGGCCACGACCACCGCCACCAGCACGGTGATGACACCAACGGTGACCACAACAATCACAAGCAGGTTGCTGCTCTTCTGAGGAGTGACGCTGCCGTGTGGGGGGTGCATCTGGCCGATGGGTGGCTCTGGGAAAAGACAGACAAAGAAAGATCAGGGTTAGGGAGAGGTAGCAGCTCACTGCTTATCAAGCTCTGTTAAGGATTCAGAGTTCCTATTGTCCTGAGCAGTTCTGAAGCGGGGGGGGGGGGGGGGGGGGACAATGAGCCAGGAGAGGAAAGATCGAAATTATCCACCCAAGGTAAATGAAACCAACGTCCACACAAAAACTTACGTAGGAACATACACAGCAATGTTGCTCAGAATAGCCCAAACTGGGAAACCCCCAAACCATCAACTGATGAATGGATAAACCAAAATGGTATATCCACGCAACAGAATATTATCCAGTCATAAAAAGGAATGAAATGTTAACACATGCTACAACATTCATGTACCTTGAAAATGTTATGCTAAGTGAAAGAAGCCAGGTACAGAGGCCACATACTGTACAGTGCCACTTATATATGAGACTTCCAGAATGGGCAAATCTAAAGAGCTAGAACGTGGGTTAGTGTTTGCCGGTGGGTGGGGGATGTGGCAGAAGTGAAGGGGTAAAGGCTGTTTATCAGTACAGGGTTTCCCTTTGGGGTGATGACAACGTTCTAGAACTAGAAAGTGGTGATGGTGGCACAACCTTGTGAATATGTGAAAAAACCACTGTATTGTGCACTTTAAAAGGGTCATTTTATGGAATGTAAATGGGAAAAAAAAGAACTAAGCGAATTAAGCTTTGCATTGAGTAGAAAGAGGAGAAGGCAGTAAGGATGCTACTCTGAACAATGAGGGTTCCAATATGACAAGAATCAGAGAAGGCTGAGAAAATACTATTTATTTGATGCTGTGAAAGACAAACTATTTGACACCAATCAGTCACACTTTCCATCCCTTTTAAGAAGCTACCTATAAAGCACATTTAATTTTCAACCTGTCAGGGATATATGAATCTCACTGAAAAGCAGCCACAGAGTTTGAAAGAGTGTCAAAAAGTCCTGATATAAAATTTTTCCTGTCTTGCAACCATATCTCATGGTAGGCAATATTTAGGTGAAAATAACAGAAAAATAAGACAGTTTAATTAGCTTATATAAGCAAGATTGACTAATAGCCCCTTAAATTGCTTTCTTTAAACCCTGAGTGATTAATCAATTAGAAATACTCTGTTTCAGGTCATATTCATTATTACAAGATATGTTTTCAGAAGTAAATATTAGCATATAATTTATTTATAAATTAATTTTGAAAGAGTAGAAAGCAATGAATTTGGATGCTTTTAGAGATCTAAGTTTCAATCTGCTTCTTTAGCAACATGCATGAGCTTTCTATATTCCTTAAGCAAAACATTTAGGCCTTTTGCACCTCAGTGCATTTACCCGCAAAATGGAAATAATATTTACCACATGTAGGGACTATCAGAGTTAGAAAAAACAATACATACAATACATACAAAGCCCTGTCTCAGTGCCTGGCACAGAGTAACTGCTTACCAGTATCATTTTATACTATTAAAACATTAAATAAAACGTTGCCTAAGTTAGTAATCTACCATACCATCTGGGATACTGCTGGTGTGGACTTCCAAACTACAACGTTTTTAGAAATAACATGCAATGTAAAAGATGAATTAACTTGTTTTCACAAATGAATATAAAATAACCCAGTACTGGCCTCAACATTGAAACACTATCTTTTGACAGCTTATCTAAGAATCATTGTTTTGGTTTTTTTTTTTTTTGAAAAGATAGTCACCTAAGTTTAAATAAATTATCGCTGACTCATTATTATTGGAAAAATAGTGTTTCTGATAGAACTTGAATCTCATGGGGAGCATCTCATTAAACAGTCTTTAAAAAGCGTTTTCTGATACAAGATTCTGATTACAAAAGAAAGAAAGAAGGTTTCCTTGAAGTAATTTTTATCTTTATTACAAAGAAATGAGGCAAGTAATGAAAGGGCAGAACTTTCAATATTAGAGTTTTACTTACAATTTAAAAAGTCCTGTTACAGTAGTGTCTCCACAGGCCCTTTCTATGCTTAACAAATTAATTGATTGGAATAAATTAACCTTTTATGTGAGAGCCTACAATGGAGACAGCTGGAGATCTCACAGATTTTTATTAGCATAACTTAATTTAACAGTTCACTATTTCTGACAAACTTAGTCTGAGTCATACCACAACAGTAACATAGTGTGAGTATTTTTTTTAAAACCTTGTATATTGGAATTTTCAAATTTTTACTCTTATTTCTTTCTTCCCACCCAGGAAGACATCATGTTCCAAATCAGAAAATAATGACTCTGGATTCTGCTGAGCATTAGTGAGATTATATCGATGTCATTTGCCTCGGAGAGTTAGGGTTCATGAGGGCTCTCATTATAGATCTTTGATTCCAGGCCTTATGACTTCCTCATAAAAGTTCCCATCAGTTCAAAACTTGATATCCAAGATCTTTCATTAATTTTCAAATCTCCATTCAAAGGCTGAATAATCAGAATATCTGACGTTAAACGGGTAGTTAAGAAAGTCAAGCACAATGGTGTCTGTAGATGGAGTTGATCCTTGTTTGTAGTAGCTGTGTCCTACAAAGTCAGCGCAGACACTGAATCAGGGAAAACTAAGTATTGCGTCTAGAGGAAATACAGGGTCAAGTTCCTGGGAGCCTCTGCTGCAACATTTTTATCAACCGATCAGTGCATAGCCTTGTTTTATGTAGGCTTCTGTTTAGAGACACCTTAGTTAATACATAATGTTGATTCATTAACATTGAATTCATGGCTAATGGCACTATAAATTCATGCCTGAGTGAAGCTTAATTAACATACATATTTTCTCCATAAGGCACATTAGCCTTTGTGCTTAGGAACACTAGACAGCACTTTATCAACATATTTAGGGGCAGCTTTAAACTGTGAAAACATCCAACAAACCCACAAAGATATGAAAAATGGGCAAAATGTATCACTGAAAGGACATATCCACAGTATGAAGGCACATCATCACCTTATTCCATCTCTGCTCAGTTTGTGAGCACTGGGCTGCTCAAATTTTTGGCTGTTCTGCAAAAGTCCGAGATCATAAAACCATCATAATTATTGGTTTGGGGGGTTAGAAAGAAAATTATATAGATGAAATGAATTCCCAAATAAAGAATCTGCAAGTAATGATGGATCAACCATATTATCTAAATACATCAAAAGACTGCTCCAAATTTGGAAAAAAATTAGAACTCACAAATCTAGATTAGTGTAGTTAAGTGTTCTGGGAGACAGCCTGACTCCAGAAGGGGCAAGGTGACATCTGCCACCTTTCAGACGCTGCACGGTATAATACAAAGACTTGCAAATCTCCAGGGCATTGTGATTATTTCATGAGATAATGGGTGCAGCACACTGACCACACACCCTGGCACAGAGTTGGTACTCAGCAGGCGTGATGCAGCTCAGTGTATTTCATTCTATGTGATTTGTCCAAATGAAAGAAAAATACAATATCCTAATTCATCTGTTGCTGGTGTTCACATAAGAGCATGGGTACCCAGTGTCTGAGTAGTCAAGACCTGGGTATGTTTCATTAAAATCAGTGAGAAGGGAGTCATTTTTAATATCACATGAGCATTCTATCCAACTTAATTTTCATGCTGTTTGATCACCATAAATGATTTCATCCTTTTTCTACTAAATTTAACAAAAGCAAACATAGATTCAATAACCTGATGGGTCTAAAGTCTTAGTGATGATTGGAAAATTGGTTTAGTAAAAGTGATAATGTCTTTAATTTTTATAACAGTTGGTAGGCTTTCAACAATTTTTTATATTTCTTATCACATCTGCCCTCAAAAACTCTGCAGTCAGCTCGTGGATAGACCGGTGCTCTGCCTTAGGAGGAGTGCCGGCTCCTGTTCTGCAAACTTGGTCTCATTGCCACAATGGCTGTGTACCAAGCACCACCCTGTATCAATAGGCAGGTAAATGATGTGAACATAAGATTGACAAGTTCAATTTTGAGGAGACAAGCATCCAATGAAAGCTTCTAGTTTGGAAATGAACTTCTCTCTTATAATTGTTATTGCCTTCCCCAATAACAGTTGTGTTATTAGAATACTTGGAGCTCAACATATGTCTTCATAATTTCACAGGCCTTTCAATTTGAACAGAAATTCATATGGCCTTGAATATGTCAAAGCATTTCCCCTTGAAATAGGGTGCTATATAGTCAGTCGGCTAGAAGAGATCTCACAGATAATCTAGCCCAATGTTCCCTAAAATGAAATATTAATCACCACCATGGGGGGGAAAAAGGTTCCTTGGTCAATTAAGTTGGAAAATATATTTTTTCCCCTCAATCTCAGAATTTTGAACATGCTAATGTGAACTGTGAATCACCAGGAGAGGTAGGGCAGAAATGGTAAAGAATGTATCCAATTATTCCATAAATATGTACTGAAGATCCAATTAGGTGCTGTGGATATGAGGTTATGATCAAAATATGGGTAACGGGTAATTATATGATGTGATGGAGGTGTTAGCTAACTCCGCGGTGGTAATCATTTTGGATTATTTACGTCTATCAAATCAGCACATTGTATACCTTAAATTTACACAAGGTTATATGTCAGTTATTTTTCAATAAAGCTGGAGGCAAGGAGAAAAGCCATGAAAGGATTCAAGTAGGCAAAAATAAATTCTATGAGCTAAGATGCACAGTTGGGATATAATCAGAGGTTTACCCAACTAGTTGGATCAGAGAAGGAAAAAAAAATTCCTACATATTAAATGTTCTGTCTTCCACTCCTGAAACATGTAACCCATCTGGGTCATCTTGACACAAATGGAATGTCAGTTAACGTCTCACCTGGGATAAGGCATAGCAGACAGAAGGGAGTTGTAAAAGCTCCATTTCTGAGCTATTTTTTTCTAGAAGGGTGGAGAAAGAACAACAGCCAGGCTGTGAAACCATGAGAAAATATTTATGGGACCACATATATATTTTCATAAAAATTTGTATGTCATGGTCTTCTTGTATATTAT